TCTGCAGCAGGGGCTCAGCAGCCTCTGCCCTGTTTGCTTCAGGGAAAGGGAAATATTTGAAGGGAATTGACTGAAGTTATTTAAATGACAACTAAAAGTCATGATCTATATCAAGAGTCAGAAACATTAGAGGTGAAGAGCAGATTTAAAGCTGTTTTGCATTTGCTCTTTTAAAATGCTTTCTTAGTAAATGTTGACTTTTATGTGCTGGATTTATTTTGCTCTATAAAGTCTGCTCTTGGAGAGGAGACCTGATAGATAAATGTTCAATCCATTCTGTAAATCAGGAGGCACCCATTCAGGCGAGCAGGTTTTCTGGTTTTATTAGGTTAGAAATGCTGGAAAGCATCTGTTATTTACAGGACACCTGGTTTCACTTCCAGTTGGTGTGAAACTGCTTTTGAATAAAACCTGAAACTCAATTTAAAAGCTTTTAAAACAGCAGCTTGAAATTATTAGTTAGAAGCTGTCTTGAAATGCTTTGGCTGCATCAGGAAGAGAAGCTCACCCAGGCACAAGCTCCAATTAAAATCAGGTTTTATGGAGCAAGGGAAGCCAGAAAGCCAATGCTTGTTCCTCATGTCTGTCTGTCAGAGGTTTGGAGCTCACAGACTCAGCCTCTCACACCTCCTTTGAGTGGATAAATGGCAAAAAGAAGAGAAGTTTTCTTGCTTTTCCAGTTCCTTATTGGTTCCTCAGTGCTTAAGGACCTCTCATTGAGCACAGATGTACTGACACTCAAATACAGCGAATTTCCTTTCCCCCTGTTCCTGCTCCAAGTAAAGCTCATTTACTCATTTTACTGTCCAGCTTCTTGGAGCATCACTGCCTTGACTTCCTCTACAATATCAGCAGCAGTGATGCACAATTTGAGAATACAGAAATAGTTTATATAAAATTTAAAGTAACTGATGTTTAATTTATGCCTCACTCTAAGCTGTTACTATTTCATATTTCCTCTTTAAATTTGCATATTCTTAAAACACACACATATCAAATAAACTGATGGGTTTTTCTTAAATATATATTTGATCTATTGCAGAGACACTTAAATTCCAGGGAATAATTTGATCCTTGGGATTTGATGCAGGACCTACAAGGAAATAGAAAAAGGTTTGGATTCAAGGCTATGATCTTGGACAACTCTCAAAAGGAAATATAGAAAAATGTAGTGCAGGAAAGAGGCAGCCTGAAATTAGAACTGTTGTTAGCAAAAATAGAACAGATTTAGATTTTGGTTCTTACCCTGGTGCTATTTTTATACTAAAAACAGGCTAAGAAGGGGAAGTATTTTATTTATTGAACATCCAAATAGAAACAATGCCTCTTTGATTTCTAGATTTTTCTCTTGAGGAAAACGTATGATTTTCAAATAATTAAAATAATCAAAATTATTATAATTGTTATTATTACTATTATTACTAAATGGGCTGTAATAGGCCCAATGCTTTTACACACGCAGTAGAACTGTTAATTTTTAATTATTACTTTGTGGAACTAAACCCTGCCGTTTTTCCTGACGTTGAGCAGATCTATCCAGAACACCTGAAAATGGGATGGGAATGGAACGGACTCAGAGCCAGAGCAGGAGCAGAGGAGCTCCCAGCCCTGGTGTGAGTGCAGTCTCTCAGAGCTGGTGGGAACCTGGCTTTTCTCTGCTTTTGTGTTCTGTCTTTGGCCGTGTCCTGCCCTTGGGCCCTTCAGTATCAGTTTGATTTTCACTGGGGCTGAGGCAGGGCAGGGCCACAGGGACCTGAGTGCTGTGTTTGGCTGTATTTACCAAGCTGGAAAATCTTCTGGAGCTGGAAACATCTCCAGATGTGTTTGCTGTTTAGCCCAGGGGCTCTGGGCACTTCCTCAGCTCCCTGGGGCTTCTCAGGAGGTGCAGCCACAGCCCAGAGCAGCCAGGGTTTGTTCACCCCCTGATTTACAGCCAGGAGGGCACTGCAGCCAGCCCAGCAAACCCCAGAGCAGCCAGGGTTTGTTCCCATCCTGAAATACAAACACAGCCAGGAGGGCACTGCAGCCAGCCCAGCAAACCCCAGAGCAGCCAGGGTTTGTTCCCATCCTCAAATACAAACACAGCCAAGAGGGCACTGCAGCCAGCCCAGCAAACCCCAGAGCAGGGAAGGGCTCCACGGAGGGCTGGGAGCTCCTGTGCTCACCCCCTGCACCCACAGCAGGATTCCAGCAGGAATTTCCCCATGGAAAGGGGGCTCAGGGCAGCTCAGGGTGGGCACAGCAGGAATTTCCCCATGGAAAGGGGGCTCAGGGCAGCTCAGGGTGGGCCCAGCAGGAATTTCCCCATGGAAAGGGGGCTCAGGCTCTGAACTGCCCAGGCAGGGTTGCAGTGCCCATCCTGGAGGTGTCCCAGGAATTCCTGGGGGTGGCACTCAGAGCTCTGGGCTGGGGACAGGGTGGGGATGGGCACAGCTTGGAATGGATGTTCTGGGAGGGCTTTTCCAGCCCAAACGATTCTGAGAGCTGTGTTTATCTAAGAAATACGTGCAGAGGTCTCAGATCCTCCCTGACAGTGGGAACCAGCAGCCTTTGGGCATGGGAGAGGTTGGGGAGGGCTGGGTTCTTCCCTTGTGCCACAAACACCCTCTCCACCCAGCCCTGCTGCTCAGCACCCCCCTCAAAAGCCTTTTGGGGAGTGAAAGGTGTATTTAAACCATCCAGCTTGGAGATTTGGGTTTGCCCCTTTAGAAATGTGCTTAGTGAAAGGTGAAAGCTGTGCTGTGCTCGGTGCCTCATTGCTGTGCTCAGGGACACACGAGGTGTGGCTGGGGCTCCTCGGGGTGAAATGAGCTGCAGAACACAAACTGCTCTTCTGCTCTACACTAAAGCAATAATTTATGATTCTAATTAGGCTCCGGTTTGCAAGAATGATGAATATTCACATTTTAAATAGCTGAGGAGTATTAGAAATGTCTGTCAGCTTTGTTTGTGCCAGCTCTGAGGGCTGTGGGGAATGTTTTCCTCCAGGTGCTTTCTCAGCATCCCTTCTGCCCCATCCCTGCAGTGCCCAGGGCCAGGCTGGACAGGGCTTGGGGCAGCCTGGGGCAGTGGCTCTGGCCATGGCAGGGCTTGGTTGGAATGAGGTCCCTCCCAACCTTTGAGCTCCTTCAAAAGGGCTGAGCCATCTCTGGAAAGCATTTTCTGCTGGCCAAACCCCGTCCCAGGCCGGCTGGGGAAGGACAGCTCTGAGCTGATGCATTTTCCACCTAAGTGGATGAGACAGACCAAAGGGGAGCGTGAGGAAGTGTCATTATCCTGCTCCATGGCAGGCAGTTGCTCATTCAAAGTCACACAATGGATGTGTGGGTGCCAGATGCTGGAGATGCCAGAGATGGGATTGAAACCCAGATGTCCTGAGTGCCAGCTCAGCACTAAATTCGTGGTTATCCATCCTCTCAGATATCCAAAAACCTTCCTGATTCATTCAGTACTTAGAACACTTTGCCTGCTGGGGATACCTCAGAGAACTCTACAGTTCCCCGTGTAAAAGATGCCTTTTTGCTGTCCTCTTTATCTCCTTTAGATAATGGAGAGTTCATCCATCTGTGAGGTAAGAGAAGAGCAAAAGAACAACTACAGAGACTTTTCAGAAGTTGCTGCTCCATTGTGTCTGAAATCACTTGCCAGTAACAGCTGAGAATTCTTTGTTAGGAGAAATAAATCTGGTCCCACTGATCCTGTAGTGATCTCAGGTACTCCTCTGTAATATTCTGTTCCTCGCTTTCCCTTCATTCTTTGATGCATTTTTAAACATTGCAGATCATAAAAATCATATTATTTTCAGGCTGATAAACCCTTCCTTGCAGCAGAACAAATGGAGCCTCTCTGGTGGATACAACTGGTCTGATGCAAAGGAACAGCTTAGGAAAGGAAGGAAAGCAGCACCTCCAAAAACCCAGAAAGGAGGGGAATGTGAGTTCTGAAGGCCTTGGAGCACAAATTACAATGGAAGTTTATGGAGCCTTTTGGATTAAACCAAAAGCCAGCCCCATTAAACCAAATGGAGCATTCCTAATCTGACATGTTGACAAGGCCAGCCCTGCCCCTTCCAAAAGGGAGGTTCAAATGGATCCAGATTTATCTGATGTTCCCAACAGGGGCTGGGCTGCCTCCAAAGGAAGTGATCCAGGCCAAAAGTAAACAAGATGCACATGAAGCAGTTTGTGCCACAAGGAAAACTTCCAGGGAATATGCAGAGAGGCGAAGGGGAGCCAGCAGAACCCCAGCCCAAGGCTCTGTCCTGTCTCCTGTTGTGTGCTCTTTCTGCTCCTCTGGGCAGTGTAAATCCGAGTCTCTGCTCCTCCTGCTCCCTCTCCCTCTTTGTTTCCCAAGGAGTTTCTGGGTGAGCCTCTGCCCACACTCAGCCAGGGCTGCTCAGTGGGGCTGGGGATGCTGAGAGCAAACCCAGCCTTTCCCAGCTGCTCCCAGTGTGGCAGGCATGTGTCACAGCACTGCAAGGGCAGCACAAGCACCTTCTGTGCTTGCCTTTCATCCAGCTGGGACCAACCTTTCCATTGCCATTGAGACCCTGACAGAGCTGTCCTGAGATTTGGGATTGCTCAGCCTGGAGAGGAGCAGCTCTGGGTGACACAGCTGGGAGCTCCCTGTACCCACAAAATTATGAACAGGGACTATTTACAAGGGCCTGGAGTGACAGGACAGTACTTTGGACTCAGAAATCTGTTCCAGAGATGTGTGCTGCCTTCCATCCCTTTAACATTTAAATTTTGTGTGTGTGTGTGTCACACCAAACAACAGCAGTGCTGTTTGTCCCTGAGCTGTGTCATTTGCTGTCCCCAGGGATAACTGGATGATAATGGCCATATTCTGGTGGAGTGTGACACTAGAAATAAATACTCTAAGAGAATTAAATGTGAAAAACAGATTACTGGTGCTTCTTGCAAAGATATAGCACAGGATATGGCTGCAGAATGGAAAGTGGAGACACTGCTCATAAAGCAGAAAAGAGACAATCAGTGATTTTATGATTTTATGTGTGTGTTCCCCACAGTCATGTTGACTTTAATGGCAGTTTTAGGTACTGCCAAGGAAGATTTTTGATCATATATTCCCAAATAGCTGTATTTATAGATCTCCATGTACATGAGCAGATAGATGCGTGTGCATTTGTGTATAAAACCCCACAAAACCACAGCTGCTTGTTCTGTCTGGTGGAGATTTATTCTGATAATATTACAGCTGCGTGTTCCAAGGGATTTTTGTTTGTTTGTGCTTTTTGTAGGTACTACAGAACCAGCTGGATTTGGGGATTCAAGCAGATGCAAAAAGCCGAGGTTGGCC